TAAACCGAATTGAGAGTTACAGTTGCAATCCCATAGACTCGTCAGAGTTGGGCGAAACGACAGACTTCAATTAACCTGAAGTCTCATTTTCTTCTTTGGAAAATGTTCGAAAGAGAAAACGGAAAGAAACTTCAGGTTAATCGCAGTCTGTCGTTTCGCCCACGCTCTGAGATTCAGCTAGATAGCTTCGTTTTCTTTTCATTTCCAAACATCTCTTTGGTCTCGTATATATATAATATACACGTATATTTCAAGCGAAATAAAAGTAAATTTCAATTCGCTTCCGGCGCATTATCATCGTCGAGTCGCATGCACAGCTTCTACACTTCATCCTTTCCTTTCCTTTCCTTTTTTTTTTTTTTTGTAATATCCTTTTCCATGTACACTTAACGACTAATAAAACCTCTAATTTCAATAATTCTATTTCACAATATGTATCATTGCGTGGTACGCGCGAACGCGTGTGTTTGTTTGTTGGTACGTGTACGTGTAATTATACATATATGTACTAACAAATAATATGGCATTACAAAAAAATGTACATACAGTCGTAACGATCGTGATTCTTAATAATCGAATATGCTAATAATACTATCGGTGTCATGCAATATTAATGTCACATTGTGTCCTTACCAGCGGTAAGAACATTTCAACATCCTAGATTTTATTTTTTAAACGTCGGTTACGTTTCCCTAAGTCGAGAATACATGTGAGTTTCTTAGTTTTCTTCTTCTTCTTCTTCTTCTTCTTTTTTTTTTGTTCTTTTTTTTCTGTATAGAGTATAAGAGTATACTCACCATTGGCAGTACGGAAAAGGAGTGTGCGCCAGATACTTAAGACATGCGACGAATTAGAAATTGAAACTTTTCTTTCTTTTCTCTTATTCTCTCGTACACTCAGCCACACACACGCACGGACACGCACACGCACACGCTTTCTTTCTATGTGATCTCAAATTGTGCATATTTACCGAACGTGATCGTTATTTCGAACAACGAGTACCTCTTGTACCTGACAGAATCAATACCAGCAGCAAGATAAACCAGTATCCGTTCTGCTGTTTCTCGATACGACTCGATGGCTTAGTTAACACCATGTATTTCATATACGTATAAAGTACTTTGTCTATACCAAAAACTTGATATAAATAACGACCAGACTGCGAATTTTCATGTCATAGGAAATTTGAACGTTCAAGAAACTACGAATGCACATAGTATGTAACAATATAAAAAAAGTATTGAAAGTGAAGTCCATACTATAATATTTTCAGGGTAAAATTAATTCTATTTTGCATAAAGATCCGCAGTCTGGTAACGACATACCAAGCAGATGTAGTATGGCTGAAGAAGGTGCACCGTATCAAAATAGTACACATTATAAACACCGGTGTATCGTAAGAGTTGTTGAACTGCTTATCGTAATTGCTTTCTTCTCCCACAATCTCAATAACCTTTCGTAAGATAGAATTACATACTAAATGAACAACATATCTTTCCATATCTATCTCGATATGCTTTGAGAATATGTCAAGCATTACACACGTGGTAAATCCGTGTATTTTATTTGTACCTTATTCGAACATTTTATAAGCTTGGTACGCTATGTATCGAATCCGTTATTTTATTCCGTGTACCAAAAATGAACACGGTGCAAACTAAGCCAATTGCTACGATTCACGATATGGACTGGTCCACAATCGTGCGTCGTTTTCTCGCCTGCGATGCACGCACACTGGAGAGTAAAAAAAAATAAAATAAAAACAAAAAAACTGTTACAGACGTCCTAGCGCTGTCAGTAGTACTTAGAAAGGTGGATGCGCAGGAGATTGTTCACTTTAAGCCGGCGACTGACTTGCAACAGAACGCTGTAATGTAACTGCTCGGCACGAATTTTACGGTTCGACACCAACGTTACATTGCAAGGTCCTTTTTGGACTCACGAATGCTCGCTTCGAACTCGCGGCTGAATTCTTTCTCAATGCTTCCTACTCAGTTCAGTGAGAAGTAGACGATCAAAGAGGTTCGTCAAAAAACCGACAGATCAGTGGAGCACGCAAGAGCGCGAACCGAGCGCAAGAACGGCTCGGTTCGTCGCTCGCTAGTCCGCCAAACTAAGCGAATGCTCGCGTTACATTACAATGTGTTCTGTTGCAAGTCAGTCGCCGGCTTTATTGTAGCAATCTACGACGAACAGTCTTCTGCGGATCTACCTTGCTACCACGCGACGTTTAAACAAGATTCGCGCTATACACTGGCGGCCCTAGAGCGTCTGTGTCCTCGCAACAACTCTTTTGCTCTCCAGAGTACAACAGTGCCACTTAACGTAGAATACGCTCTTTAACCCGATTCGTAATTATAATAATTTATACTGAAATATATCTTATATCACATATTTTTTTTTAGCATCGGCCTTGAAACCGCGAATCGCCCCAGTCTTCTATTACCAGAGCCTCACACTGTTCGCTCTATGTAGGTACATTCTCCTATTCCTCTGTCGTATTCCTTTGGACATCGAGTTGAATTTTTCTTTTGATCTTTCAGAAGAGAAACTGTATAGCGAGCAAGTTATGCAGCGGAGGATTAATTAAGCTATTAAGATTCGAACAAATACGTCTAAGTACAGAGTATTCCGTGGCTGTTCCTATCCTGAAAGAGGAATTCGAGCATCTTCGTTTCACAGATGAAGCTATTAAATCGATTTGTTTCTTCGATCGTAATTGAACACGCTTCGCGACCCTGGTCGCATCCTCCAAGGATCAACTTTTTTTACTCGAACGACAAACAGAATTGTTAGAGTCTGGTTTCTCGCTGAGAACTTGATTTAAAGGCGTGTGTTCACATGACGTTAAAGTCGAGACGTCTTATGACAGCGTCACATTGTTTTAAGCTGAATCTACTAACATTTTCAACGCGAAAACGCTTACTTATTTTAATTCGATTTGCAAGCGATAGGACTGAGGAAGGCGCATCTGTATCCGTAGGCTTCGCTTCTGTAAAAGAGATTAGAAGATGAAAGTGCTGTGGCCAGAATCTTGCAAATTGCGCTGGTTTTGCATCGAAGTGTGGGTCACGTGCCTTGCAGGAAACAATGTCAACACTATCGTAGAACACTATCGGATTAGACAAAATTGCTCGCTGTCGATAGGAATAGAAGCTTCGTTTAACAAAATTTGAATCGCTATGAACACTAAGTATAACGTTAGACTTCGATACATCTTCAAAAATGCTAAAAAACTTCATGACGGATAAGGTTCGCGAAATATCGTCCACTCGCTTCACTGGGAAAGTTAGGATTCCTCGGTTCTTGAGTTTCTCGTTCGACGCGACTACGAAAAATATATTTAAAGTTCGTTGGCTCTCTTAAATTCAAATTTCAATCTGACAACGATAAAAGTTACATCTTGTTTGTCACATGAACACGCAGCTTAAAGCCGGCGACTGACTCGCAACAGAACGCTGTAATGTAACTGCTCGGCACGAATTTTACGGTTCGGCACCAGCGTTACATTACAAGGTCGTTTTTCGAATCACGAATGCACGCTTCGAACTCTCGCCTGAATTCTCTCTCAATGCTTCCTACTCGATTCAGTGAAAAGTAGACGACCAAAGGGGTTCGTCAAAAAACCGACAGACCAGTGGAGCACGGTCGAGCGCGAACCAAGCGCAAGAGTTCTGTTACAATGTTCTGTTGCAAGTCAGTCGCCGGCTTAACAATGATAACAATGGTAAATCCAGAACTGCAATCTTTCTCGCAAAGGTGTCGAACCTGATTGTCTTTCGGTTTTAACGAGGGGACGTCACGTCAATGGAATCGTGGATTTATTCCATAGGTGACGGACATCACAACCCTCGAAATTTTTACGCCATTGAGCCTTACTGTTTACGATATCAATGATGAAAGTTTATCAAGTTTCGTTGTGCCTTGGAAAGTATCAAGTTTAAAGGCATACCTACAGATTACTGTTGTCTTGGCTTTTCTTCTCTTTTATTTAAGCTTCATAAACTTCCACAATTAGTACTAGGAAAACTAAGGCCCAATGGTGCAAAAGAATCCGAGGGTTGTAATGCTTGTTACTCATAGACTAAACGTCTAAATAAATCGTCACGTGAATCCGCGACTCCACAGATGCGATATCCCTTACAAGACAGTCTGTTGGATCAACGTGTACGACAATCTGTAGATAACGGTGCTTCGAGCAATGTAGGAATGCAACACGAACGGAAATAGTCCTTTTGATCCGTTCAAACCAGCCCCCCCCCCCCCCTCCACGTTCTAATTTCTAATACGACTGCTGCTTGCTTGTCAATATAACCCTTACAAATACCAGATGATTCACGAGAAACAGAACACTTAATTATCTCAGTTCGACTTAAAGATAGAAGAAAATGTTAGAGGAAAAAGTTGTACCGTTTAAGGGGGCAAATATGGGGATATAACAAAAATTTCCGAATTTTCTAATTTTCAAGGTTTTTTGAAGGTTATCGGTAATTTTTGAATTACATCCTATATTTTCAACATCATAAGATTGTAGCTGACGCCAAGACGAGTACAACAATGTGTTACACTATGACCTTCAAATGACCTTGAGCAGAACCTCGAACCTCTCTTCCTTTGAATAACGCATCGTTAAACTGATATCGATAAACTGATACATTCGGAATACTTCAATGACAATAACCGACTGGGTAGTAAATACCTGTAGCTTATCGATAAACATGTTTATACGTGCTTAGAAATTACCTTCCATTAACACTGTACACGTGCTGAAATGGTTAAAGAAATTGCATTTTCGTTGATCAGACAGAAATTTCTCATTTCTCGGTTCAAAGTCATTTGAAGGTCATAGTGTAATACATCGTTGTACTCGTCTTGACGTCAGCTACAATCTTGTGATGTTGAAAATATAGGATGCAATCCAAAAATTACCGATGACCTTCAAAAAAAAAAAAAAAAACCTCGAAAATTAGAAAATTCGGAAATTTTTGTTGTACCCTCATATTTGCCCCCTTAAACGGTACAACATTTTCCTCTAACATTTTCTTCTATCTTCAAGTCGAACTGAGATAATTAAGTGTTCTGTTTCTCGTGAATCACCCGGTATATCACACGATATATTTGTAATCATGTTACTGTATCTTTATTCCCGTATTCGCACGACGCAGACGATGGTAAGATTGAACAAATACGTACAGCGCGTACGTTAACGTAATTCGAATTACGCGAATTCAGGATCGGTAGAAGCTGGCACCGCTCAGCGGCAGCGTAGTTTCGCGAGTAGCAGTTTCGCTCGAGCGAGAGAGGGCTGGTCCAAAAAGATTCAAAGTTTATCAACGCCGAAGGACAGATGTACGTATAAAAGTTCCAGGCCTACTGGTAGTATAGAAGTACAGTCGCTGATTAGTTTGCTGACAGTGTAGTACTCCGTGCGGTTACGTAGAAGGACGGTGACAGTAAGTAAGACTGCGACACCGCGTTCAATCCTTCGGCTTCCGCATCCAACTCTTCCTGCCGAGGCTAGCGATGCTCACGGAGCTGGCAGTACTGGAAACACTTGCCAACGAGTTCAGGCTTACCGAATGTTAATCTTGCAGCATGTGTACGAAACTGATCGGGAACATTCCTCTTCTTTCTGGGGCTCGTTCCAGGGCACCCTCCATCCAGTTGTCGTCGTCCGTTTGTTCGTTGGTGACGATGATCACCTCGCCCTCGCGAAAGGATAACTCGTCCTCGTTGTCGGCCTCGCAGTCGTAGAGCGCTCGGCAACGTCTCAACCCGCTCAAAGTCGACGAAGTTGGCTAAAAAAAGGTAAAGAACCGTGATAGGTTTACGTTGAAAGCTCGTCGACGCGGTACAGTCGCCTTGATAAATAAGTTAACGCATCGCGGGAAATACCTCTTATTCGTTGAGAAGCGATAAAGGACATTTTAAGAAAGTTTAATCGAATGAGTGAAGGAATGATTGTTCTCTGACTCAATTTGTTGAACTGCGAAGAACCAGAGGTTGGTCAGGAAAATAACTTCGTCCGAGTAATTCCCGTTACACGTTAATCGACTTCTGTTAGAAGTGGTATGATCCCTAGAGTTGTTTGTTGAAATGATTTCTTTTTTAATATCTTCTTACTGTTTTCTCTCATTAGATGTTTTTTTTTTTTTTTTTTTTTTTATTATTATTAATTTTCAACGAGTAACGTCTGTTTTGGGAAGCGTTAACTTATTTACCTACACGACTGTATGATTTAGTTTTCCATGAATGAAGCAAGCACTCTTTAAGAGCATCGAGAGTAGAGTGCGACGAATACGAATAATGCTTCCTCAGGTCGCAAGAAATTGGAAATTCTAGGTGGAAAAGGCAGAAGGAGGAGTTCCCTAACGATATGTAAAGATCGTGCACGATCGAGTAGATGTTACTTAATTCGTTCTTTTTTCTTTCCTACTATAACAAGTATCATGCATATAATAGGCTAGTATTTTATAGAGCACTAGATTATATTGGGATATTAACATTGTACAATATTCTGCTCCCCTAGCTTCTTTAATGTCTGCTTGATATCTGCATTCTGCATTTTTTTTATTAGTGGTTCTACAGCAGCTTGAAATATCACCTAAAAATTCTTGTGTACCGCGGTTCACTTAGACGTGTGTATAGTAACAAAATGCAATACTTGAATCATTAGTTCCCGCGTCATTCATCGCAATTTAATCATTGTTTCACATTTACTAAACTAGAATTTCCAATAGTATGCATCAATTTCATGCCTGTTATAATACATTTTAGATTCAATTCCTAAATTTAAGCTTTCAATACAATGTTCAGTTACGAACAAAGTGGAAGATAAACGTGGTATGGATAATTATAAATATTCGTAACACATCTTGTTTGTCCATAAAGTTATTCGGGTAGGTCGAAAAGATGCTTTTCAATGTTCATTGAAATTTTTTAAGACATCTTACGTCTGGGTCGACGTGCAAAAATAGTATAGAATGTCGTCTAGCTATGTTTGCTAGTAACTTCCTCCACTTTGCAATATCACAAGGATAGTATTATCTCGGAATAATTAGAGGAGATTTTAGTGCGTTCAAGCGCTATCGTAAAACACAAATTTTTGGATATTCATGCGAGGACTAAGTTTTAAAGCACGCATCCTGGCATGACAAATTTTGATTAATGAACACGTTGCATCCATAAGTAGGATACGCAGGAAGCACGAACACTGACACAGAAAACTATATCAATCATCCAGTATTAATTATCTCGTACGTTCCATTACGAGACATTGTACGCTTTTTATAATTTTAGACTGGGAATCCAGTTTGTAAATGAAATATACATGTTGAAATGTTAATTTCACAAAAATTATACGCAAAGCACTGACAATGAAAAAAACGATGGTTACGGACAGCACGACTGATCATGCAAAGCATTACCACACTTGAAAGGAACGTTCGATAATGCAGTATCTTCGTATTAACATTTCACTGCTTTGATTCGTTATTAGTTGTTCGACGCAGAAAATTTTCTCTAATCGATTAATGTTAATCGTTGAGTAGAAAATATGATAATCGAAGTATCGAGTCTTTTAAGAATCTACGCGTGATATCTTGCCGAAATAAACACTCTGAAATGTTGTTTCCTTTCGATAAGCACATGTGTAAATTTATTCGTGTATAAATTAGCATAAATTATTAAAATGAAATCTGTAAATTTTCATTTTTGAGATTCAGACAAAACAAAACACGTGTTTCAAGTGTAGCAAGCTGTAATGTGGGATGGCTGATGTTTACCAGATTCAGATTTGGGAGCAAAGATGAAGGCTCCTCGGCGTAGCTCTCTAGCCTGGATCGGTCCCTTCGCTGTACCAACAATGGTTAATAACAAACCATAAAGCACTGTCTTTGATATACATGCAGTGTCTAAATATCGTTTTTTGTGTTGAAGGTAATTTTTCCCTATTAATATTTAAAAGAAACACTATCATAAACATTTTCCTGATCACGATATTCATTTGTTTATTTTCCTAATGCAAATCAGAGATTTTCATGTAACGTTACATCGTCTAACCATACATTCTGTAGTGTAGAATACATTTCTTTGTTTTTTTTTTTAGTATGGCATAGCTAAAGTTACAAAAATTATTAGCAAGATTAGTACATTGACATTTAGAATTTTGCTCCAGCTGTTTTTCCAAGTGATACGAATGAATGAATTAGGTAATTTATGAAAGGAAAATGTGCGTTATATAATTGCAAAGGTTTACCCAACGATAATATGTAATAAAAATATGACGTATACGAACGATGAAGATGTACGATTTCTACTGAAAAAAATCACTCGGTAATGGTGTGCGATTGACATGATACGCAAATTACCAAAGTTCGAAAAAACGAATCGAAGTGCAGCTATTGTCGACTAACTATATGGAAATAAATGATGGTAGTAACATCGTGTTAGTTCAAAGTTTCTGTAGTTAGTACGTATGTTAAATGAACGACAAGTATTCGAATGGATGTATATACATACACATACTGCGTTAAAAAGGTGATGTTAGAAAAATCTATTGATGATTGCGCCAAATAAAATAAAAATAAAACGTCCATTCGCTTTAGCGTGAAACAATGTCTTAATAGGTTTGCATTACATATTCGAAAATAACATTTTTCAAACGGGATTATTCCTCGACATTTTGTTTCGGCATTTTCTACTTCTCTCGAAAATTTGCCCCTTGCTAGTGGCGTAACTAAGGCTGCGAGAATTCGAGGATATCAGTTAATTTCATTTATAGAAAATTTATTAAAAAATATTGAAAGTAAAGTCCACGCTATAATATTTGCAGAGTAAAATAAATTCCAATTTAGATGGAATTTTCGTTTGTCATGAAGATCCGCAGTCCAACGATAAGTAATGAATATTGAATACGAGATGCGGAGGGAAGGATCAACTTTCCTGTAGATGGCTTAACTGTAAAATTTAGTCACGCCTCGTAATTAATTAGTTACGCCACTGTTCATTTTTTTTTTCTATGTATAAATACCAAGAAAAGAAAGTATACCAATTCATATAAAATATTTTCAATTTACCTTGCGTGGAGGAGGAACGGGATTCCCCAAACCGTGATCCGAGCACATCGAGCTCAACGATTCGCTGCTACGGCCGTTGCTCAGTCTCGACGAATTGACCCCAGATGGAGCTGGTGGCGGAGGATTCCTCGGTCTCTGTAACGTCGAACTGTTCACTTTGTCCGCACCTAACGAACAGACGGGGCATGGTTAGTTTCAGAAATGGAAAGGTTTGAACGAATTTACGTTTACCCGAGAACCAAGACGGGCAAGTTCGTAGAGAAGTTAGCGTGACTTTTCAAACGCACCGTGTCCCGTTGAAGAATCTCCACTGGGCGATCTTTTATGATGCTGACTGTTTAATGTATTTAACGCATGTGGTAGAGTATGTAAAGAATGCCCAGCTAAGATCGGTTCGCTCGTTGTACGGCTATGCGTTGACGCTGCTAAGGACGCGGACGGAGGTAGTGTACCATAATGAGAGGAGGGTATACCACCTGTACTTCCAGCCGGTGGTGGTGGTGGTGGAGCTACCCTCTTCTTCAGCGAGCCGTGGATATTCACTGTTATATCTGGCGCCATCGGTGCAGGAACTAGAACAAAAACAGATCAAATTAAAATCTATATTTTCGTGGGGTGTGTAACGTTCAAGAGTTGCAAGCGTGTTCTTTTTTTTTTTTTACTTTTTTTTTTTAAGGGAAAGTGGGAGGGCAATTACAGTTCAGTGAATTTCAGACTTCTGTAGATTTACAGAACGCTTGTATAATTTTATAAAAGAAAAGTACGTATAGATCAAATTTATTTATTTCGTTCTTTTAATTGTTACTTACAAGTTTTTCACGGGACACTCGTTCGTATATGTAACGAAATGTTAGATCTTTAGGAGAAGTTTAGGAGGAAAAAAAAATGATAGGATAAAGTGAGAACTCGAGTGCAATGTAAATGCGATGTGTTAACCCCGCAAGAGATAAGTACCAGCAACAGGTTTCCTTGATTGTGGTGGTGGCGGTGGAGGCATCTGTTGTCTGTTCGTCGACGAACTTGGAGAAGAACCGCTTTGCAAACTGTCGCAAGTGCTACTTCGACTTCGTAACGTCACCGGGGAATCTCCTGGTCCGGTACCACCGCCACCGCCGCCTACGTAAGAAGGCGGTCTGCTGCGGGATTTCTTCTCAGGTGTTAAACATCCATTCTAAAAGAGAAGAGCCAAAGATGCCAAACAATTGGTTACGTTCCAATACGTTCACCTTGAATAACTCGTCAATCTTTCTGTGTACGAGGAATTTTTATATAATTAACATACCCTATCTTCTATTATCGTTTCGTCATCCGAGAAGTCTGTGGAGCCTTCGTCGTGAGAGAGATTCCAATCGATATTAACGTTGTCGAACAATGTTTTCTGTCTTTGCAGTGCGTGACTCAGCTAAAGACGATAAAACGTTCGGTCCCCGTTATGATGCGACCATTGGTATCGTTACACGCAAACTGGCAATCGTAGTAATACTTTACCAATTCTTTGCAGGTATGATGACCCATTTCCTGCGCAATGTCAAGAGGCGTTTTATCCTGTTTGTTTCGATGCGTTGGATCAGCGCCAGCTCGTAGCAACAGTTTCATCGCTTCTGCTCTGTCGTGTCTCGCGCAAAGATGCAGGGCCGTTTCTCCGTCGATGGTAGTCCTATCTATACCGCCAGTCGACATGTTTTGCACTAGGAAGTCGACGATATGCAAGCTATTTCCCATCTCGCGCAAAATGGCTAAATGCAACGCCGTTTCGCCCAGATCCTACAAAGGAATATTCCCAAGTTGCAAAAGCTGTACGCAAATGTTCTTTTTAACGATTCGAACGATCGCTCGCTTAGGAAGAATGTTGAAAAAATCGTACCGACGTTGGCAACGGTGCAGCCAGATCCACGTTCTCGGCATAAACTTGGAGGAGTTGTTGCAAATCACGATTATTAACGGCATGCTCTAAATCAGAAAGCAGATCTCGTTCATCCGCGCAAGTGTTCATCACGTATCTCTTGTCCACGTACTTTGCCCTTATGAACTCGTATCTTTCCTCCCTGAATGGTACAGGAATTCACAAACTGATTTACAGATTATGTAAAAACAACAAATTAATCACGGTTTATATGCGATTGGAAAGGACATGTGTTACAACCAGAAGCTAACCGTAAGAACTTTTAACGAGAGATATGTATAGCTCACATAGTCGACGTTGGCGTTGGCTTGAGGTTATGGTGCAATGTAGCTTCCATCACTTCGTTGAACGCCTGATTAGTCATGTGTCGCGCGAGAAGTAGTTGAGCAGTGCCCACGTTATCCAACGTCAGAGACTGTATTCTGGATATGTGTACTCCCAAGTCTCGATGAATTCCGCTACATTCTATGCATACTATTATGCCGAAATTCGTAGACAACCACGTAGCGTCTGCGGATCAAGAAGAATTTCTTTTGTAGAATATATCGCGTCCGAAGAAAGAAAACTCTACGTTAACTCTGCTCTTCTCTATCGGATTTACCATTTTGCGAGGAGCAGTCGCAGCACTGGTCGTTTCCAGGTAACCTCATCACGCACCGGATCACAGCCTGTTGTAGCTCGACTAAGCTTGGATTTCCGCTGCCAGCTTCCGCCTTGCCGCTGGCGTCGAACGCTCGAAGCAACGCGCGTTCCTTGCAGTTCACCAAAACGGACATCCACGCTCGTTGGTCTGCCTCGTCCTCCGCTTGAAAGTGGTACGTCCTGTTGTCTGGAACAGGCCAAGGTACTTAGCGTATTAAGATACTTTTGTTTATATTTCAGGACACCACGTGGGAATTTATTTCAAGCATCGCTGAATGCATTTACAACAAAGAATCGAAGAAGAATGAATGCAAAGCAGCTTAATCTTCATTCGTGAGTGTATCGTATCGTAGCCCAACTTACAACTAATGAGATCAAAGCCCCGTTTATCGTCTGGTACAAGCTTAATTTGGCAGGTTAATAAATTCACCCTCGTGGGTGGTTTATTTTCGTCCGCGTGACAGATGTCGAGATAACCCTCCGCCTGAACGGCACATCTCCTTTTCTGCCAAACCCTCCTCATCTTCCCTTCGCTCTTCTTCAGTAGGTGGCCAGACCGAGTGACGCCGTGCTGCTTGTCGCCTTGGAGCTGGTGAAGCGAATATCCTGCATTCGCGTTTACGTTCAACTGAAAAATCGTATAATCTTGAATGTTCGCAGATTCACGTAGTCGGAAACCGACGGAGGTTCGCAATCATCGTGTTTACCTCTTTGTCGCAGCCCGAGCTTCTAAGGAGGTTCCTCAGTTCTGTTAATCGCCGTCTCTCCTCGTCTTGCGTTTGTCTGATCTTTTGCAACTTGACGCTCAGATCCGCCACGTACGAGCCAAAGTGTTCGATGGTCTTTAGGCCGTCTTGAAAGTAACTGTGTAAACAAATTCTCATATCAAGTACATTTAGCTCTGCGCGTATTATATGTAAAAATATGTTGTTACAAGGGAAAAGTAATTTTTATTTTTATGAAAGGGAAATCCTATTTTTAAAGTTACGACGTGTTCTGTAAATAGGATCTTTATTACCTAGAATAATCTAATAATATGAACACGCTTATATAACGAGCAATAGTTGTGTAAGCATCGATAGATACTTTCTCTTTTATGAAAAATTATAACGACGCGAGATAGAATCGGTTTCGTTAACCGAAAACTTACTTGGTTTGCGCGTGATAATATTCGACTAGATGCTGCAGTAGTTCAATTCCTTTTTTCGTTTTGATTTCGTTTACCTTTATCAAGTACTGGAAAAGATAACAGAGCATAGTAAGATAAAAGATACACACGTAATTACAATAAGATTGTCGAAAGTAATCTTCTCATTCATTGATTTTAGAACAAAATACCGAAGTATGCTGGTTTCGAAGATGTCCAGTAAAAATATTATTTACTCTGTATCTTGTGTTCCGAGGGGTATTACTAATGTACGGTGCAAACGATACTATGTTTACTTCTCGTTACATAATCTTAGTCGATAGAAGTTAACTCTTTTAAGCTCGGTTTACCGATATTACACCAGTTATACTACTTCCCAGAAAACTTGGACGACGGATTTAACGCGATCAACTGTTTTTTTTTTTTTTTCTGTTTTAGCTGCAAACGCTGGTTTCTAGTTCTGCTTTCGGGATAAACAATGACTATCAAAAAGATAATTGATGTCTTTAAATAATTCTTTATTTCTTCTTCTTCTTAAATTTAAATACTCGTCTTTTATTTTTCTTCTCGATTATCTACTAAATTTTTATTGTAACAATTCCCCTCGATGTTCATTGTTTATTACGTACAGGAAGTTTTCTTCTTTTTCGAAAGATTTCCTTCTAAAATCAATGGACAATGCTGCATGTATTCGTTTCAAGCGGTCAGCGATTCCTCCCGCAGGTCACAGAAATCCGTATCACAAATTGAAACAATCAGCATAATAAATACAGAGAATTACTGTCGTTTGTTCCAGAGACGATTCGGCGAAAGGGAAGGGAAGGGTTTGGGGGGGCGCCTCACCTCGCACATTTGCAATTGAAACAATCTTCTCTCTTTTTCCATCTCATCGGCGATCTCGGCCGGCGTAATTTCCGTCCGAATGAGGCCAGCCTCTTTCGCGTGCTGCTTCTTCTCCTTCTCGATTTTCGCGTACTTCGCCTCGTAATCCTTCCACGCCTTTTCGAACGGTCTCTTCAAGTCACCTTTCACACCTCTGAGATCCCCCTTCAGCACCGAGTCCAAGGGAAACATCACGATGTTGTTAATATTCTGCATCTTTCGGAGGAAAGCAGGAAGAACAATTAGAGTAATTAAAAATGATCTAGATTCATTTAGATTCAGATGAAGAATCGAGATTTAAATTTGAAGTACGTCTTATATTCCAAACGATGTAACGTGTATTTTATTGTTAATCATTATGAAACGTATGGAAAAACTTTGTATACAAATAGTTGACACGAAGAGGAGGCAGGTTATTAAATGAGTATGTTTCGTTTCATAGGTGGTGATGTTTTAACACGTTGATCGCCACGTCACCCATACGTGGGTGACAGTGCTTCTCACTGAAAAACTAAAAAAATTAATTCTGAAAGTTAAGCTTCACAGGAAATGAATTTAAATGAAATTCGTGTATTTTGATGAAGTTACAAAAATAAATACCACGACGGATGTTTGATTATGTAGTCTCCGATAGTCTGAATAATATTTAATTCTGGCAGAAATTTTCAAAAATATTTCTCTGGCAGTCAACGTGTTAAAGTAGCGTGCGTGTCGACAAAAAGGTATATGTAAGTGTTCGCACGCACCAGAGTCTTCATTAAAGCACTCAATTCTTTTGTGACGACCGCGAACTTTAAGAAAGCTGCACCGATATCCGGTTCCTGTTCTTTCAGAGCCGCGTCGCCGAGCCTTTCCAGCGCCCTTCCAAGGTATACTTCGTTATCGACGTGAGCTGCAACAATAAAAAGAACAAACGATTGACAAAACAATACGCCGATTATGCAGCGTTCCTTGTGAACCTTGTTTATTGATTAACACTTAACCAGCTACGAATTTGGAAATAAATTCTACAGAAGAATGATCAGAAGAATTACCAATTACTTTATTAATGTAATAGATACATCGTACTTACCGTTTCCAGAATTGTGTATAGCTTTGATTGCTTTTTTCAGCTTCGTCAGACCATCCCTGTCGAAGTCCAAAGTCTGCAACAGATATAAATATATTAAAATTCAAATACTATAAACTTAACACGTTTATTAGGCGATATTAAGAAGTGTTAGAAGGCGTCGGGACGTGTCAGTAGACGTGGACGACGTGAACTATTCCACGTAGAACGCAGAAAAACTTTGTCGCTCGTCGCCTGTTATTCAACGAAAATTTTTCTCCGTATCTAGTCGGAGCCATGCACCTCGAGCAGGGACGATATTGCGATAACATGGAGCGTCGAGGACGCGATAGGCGAACGCGCGCGGCAAAAGGCTTCGTCGACTATTAAACGCGGCAAGGAAAAGCAACAACAACGAGGATAGGAATTCTCGAGCAGAACGAAGCGGCGATACATTTTATCAGATCATGCTCCGCCGAGCGGAAGATTCGTATGTCTTCGATCTACGCGGCCTTCTTATCGGCGATTTTTTGCATTTCCCGCCGCCGCGCTTTCACGATTTTCAATAAACCCGAGAGGGCCGTTGCCGAAGGTAAAAGTGTATTGGAATGTTTATCGATCGGTCTAGCTTGCACGGCGAAACACAATTAAATTTTATTTTATTAACACGTTGGTCGTCACATCACCCAGAAATGGGTGACAGGACTTTTTGTTAAGGAACTAAAAATATTAATTCCAAAGGTGTGAGGCAATAATGAAAACGAAGCCGGATAGGATTCGAAAATTTGGCGACGTTAACAAATTCTATACTACAACGAATGTTAACTTATCTAATCTTTAATAGTCTCGAGACATAATTTTAACTTTGTAACAATTTTCACGAGTCTCAACTTGGCAGCCAACGTGTTAAATGAGTCGAATTTCAAACCGACACTTTACCTCCAAATCGGAGCTTCAAAAATACAATTACATTAGTATTAATTGCATTAATATATATGTATATCAATATAATGCAATATATATATATGTATGTATGTATATTGAAAATTTGTTCAAATGGTAGTTCCACGCAATTGTTAACGCCCTGAAAATCGAACGGGCATATATATATTGCATATATTTATATATATATATATAGTTTTTATTTATACGGTATGGTTTCATGGTTAGGATACAATATCGTAATTGATGTATATGTATTAGTAACACGGTACGAATTAATCTTGTTATAAGAGAGTCAGCTGTCTCGACTTGACATTTCAGTTCAACTTCGTCATTCACGTAGCACAATCGCTACTTCTGGCGCGCAACATTGTTCCCAAAGGAACATGACGTAGCGCCACCCTCTTAATTAAACGTGAACAAATGTCGACGCGACGCGTCACGATAAATATCGGACGTTTTGATAAGTCGGTGCTCAAAGATGAAGAGGAACGGGTTTATTGTCTGAAGGGTATTGTTTCTTTTTCTAGTCGCCAGGCGATTGCAACATCGCGATATATCACGATGCGTCGTTGAGCACGTTACGCTGATACCGTAGTTTGCTCGATAACCGTTTCTTCCGGAATTTCCCATCGTTTCCGATTTTACACGAACAGAGGATGATAGGATCACATTATAAAAATGCATCAATCACGTATGGGTGACAGAGCTTTTCACTAAGGAAACTCACGGAACTTAACGAATTAATTGTAAGGGCTTAACTTGTAACGAAAACCAGTCCGGATAGAATTCGTACATTTTGATGAGAAAATAATCGATAGGACAAATATTGGGTCGTACAGTTTCTAATTATCTCGCGACAAAATTTTAGCCTTAGAGACATTTCTCTTTAAAGACATTCGATTCTTTAAAGAATCGTACAAACTAAAAGCAACCATGTACATGTACACATTTAAAGATAACGACAAATTCGTTTCCGATACGTATCGCACGAAGTAGAACGCTTCATGTATGTATATTGAAAATTTGTTCAAATGGTAGTTCCACGCAATTGTTAACGCCCTGAAAATCGAACGGGCATACTTTTCTTGGCTGGCGTTATCGTCCAGTTTCGAACAGAGACGTTGCGCTAGGTATAATTATAAAGTTAGAATTGAAGCGTTTCGGATCGATGAACGTCGTGTCCCCTATTGTTCACGCAATACGGCCGTTGGTGGGCGTGTGAAGAGGATCGTCGAACAAATTGAATAAGATAGGGGACGGAATGACAGAAATTCAATCAGTTTATCGTCAGTTTAAGTATGCCGCGTAGTACCATTTCGCGTGTGAGACCGAGAACGTCGATTGAAAGTTTCGCTACTGGCAATGTCACACACCGAAATAATAATGTTGGGGCCATTGACAGTACGATGAATTCGCGATACGGTCTATGCCAGTGGTTCTCAAACTGGACGAACATGACAATTTGAAACAAAAATATTCTTCGAAGATTTCGTACGTCCCTCAGGGGCTGTAGCATGCGAATACGCGGCTACAGTACGGGTTTAGCGACCCCGAGGTACCCTAGCTAGATAGGGTAGGGGGGAGGGGGGCAACAGATGCGTAGAAAAAGCAAGATTAACGCAAATATAATGTACAGAGTTACGATAACACGAAATTAGTCGAACCGTTCGAGGATTACAAATTATTTTCTTCCTCTTTCACGTGTGTGCGAAGTTAGCCCTGGACTTTTCGAATTTTTAGTTTTTCTTTCTTGTGCCGTATTGTGCTATATTTGTGCTGAATTGTCCCGTAAATAAGAGATCGATAACATCGACGACAATTAAGAAAAGAAATAAGCGAAATAGGCCGAAGCTGTCGGCAAAGATCAAAGAATGTGGGAACTCCGTGATAAATGCACACTTTCAATCCCGAGCTTGTGCATTTATCGAGACGTTACTGTACTCCGCTACCCGCGAGCGCGATGCGAATGCGAATGCAAATTCTTAACGTCTGATTCCTAACTTTGCCAACGCTGCGAAATCTGGCGATCTGACGAGATTTTGTAATTAGGAAATGTTGCTG